GGAGGGAGCCTGGTCTCTAGAAAAAACTTTTTTCAGCCCTTCGGGGGTCAGTTTCGTCTTCAGACCCCTCCCCTGGATCCACTACTGAGGAATCACATAGCATGTGAAGAGAGTCGCGTAGCCCCAGGGCTAAAAATAACGGAGAGCAGGTTGCAGGTCATGATGACCGGCCAAATATTTTTTAGACTACGAGTAGTCCCCCATTTTTCCTCAGGGATAGTAGGGCGAGTGAAACGCGAGCGCGCGTGAAAATCACCCCTCGCGAGAAAAGGCGACACGCGGCAGGGAGCCTCATTTTTCTCTCTCCCCGCCGCGTGTCGCCTTTTCTCGCGTGGGGTGATTTTCACACGCGCTCGCGTTTCGCTCGCCCTACTATCCCTGAGGAAAAATGGGGGACTACTCGTAGTCTAAATATTTTTTAGCCCGGACAAACCCCGATTCTGGCCGGTCAAATAATGAATACTAATAATTTTTTGTTGCCTAAGGAATATCCAATTATGCTAGCAATAGATCGTTATTACTACATTGACGTTCACATTTTTGACAGCAAATTGGTGAAAAATGCATTCGCACGTTGTAGAGTTCCTTTCCGCGGTTTTCGCGCGTTTTAATGTTACGTTCTACCTTGAGTATCATTGCACAGCGGTGTCTGAAGTCTCTAGAGGTAAAAAGTGAAGCATAAATCCTTTCCAAACTCCCAAGGTTCAGGAAACGGAATACACATACAGTTCAGCAAACTTTAGAAATTACGAAAAAAAACCCAAATAAATTTGGATATTTTACAAAATCTGCAGGCGCTTGTTTTACATTGATGTTCCGAAATGAACATCGGTGAAACTTGATCTTTTTCCTTGCCCGGCACGTGATCAAAAGTCACTTCCTCAAAGAAGAATCGTCGCTGATATTTTCGGCAAAGAAGTTGATTTGCATTGGCGAGAAGTTTGTTCCACAAACGGTGTGTCGATGATCAGAAGTCAATAAATAAATTTGGGTCATCGCACAACATTTTATCGCGAAGGGCTCAAATGTCAACATAAAGTTGTTTACAAGAACGAGAATCTAGCGCCGCGATAGACGACGACCTTCGCTTTTGAGTAGCTTAAATTTTTATCAGACCATTCTGGAATCGAGTCTGCAAACGAGATTCATGTCACATAAAAGAAATTATTATTAATCCATGCGCTAACATTTATTCCCGGAGAAACACAGGACGACCTGTTGAGAATTGCAATCGATTTGCTTGAATTCCTTTGAATTCCCAAAGAAGGTCACATTGCTGATTACAGCAAAGCCGAAAGTACAGTACGACTTGCAACGTTGCGTTACTTTCCAACTCAGTTTGTTATTCACTTTGTTGTGTTAGATTATGACATGACGACATGAAATTAATTTATTGCGGCGTTCTTTTTCTTAGAAGGGTTTAGTGCAAAGCAGCAAAAAGCGCCAAAGAAAAAAGAAATCATTGCAGCGTTATAGAGCATTAAGCGACAACTGTATGGAAAATAAAGTGTTTGTATCCAAAAATGGCCGGTCAAAATGACCGGCTAGACTGGAGTTTGACCCGTCAAGTCCACGATCAGGCCGGACATTGTCTGTTGACTGGCCGTTATTTGCAGCCCTGAGCCTGCGACACAATTCGCATCTCGTGAGAGGCTTTAACTTTCTTTTGAGCTGTACTGTAACCCATATATTTGGCAAAACACTGTAGATGATATAGGCAAGATGACAAGACTGTCAGAAAATGTTGATCAGAATAGAGTGGCAAGATTAAAACAGTCTATCAGTTGAAGCATTTTGCAAAACTCTCACTTCCCTGAAATCAGATAGTAAGGGTTTCCATTGTTAAAAGAGCTATAAACTAACATGTAATCTTTGATATAATTTAACAATGAAACTTTGTTTGATCTATCAAAATCATGTTGACTTTAATCATCAAACAACTCTATGTGCTTTACAAAACTTCATTGCTGATTTCGTGCATGCGAGTCAATACAAGTCAATCCATATAATTTTTTTATGCCCATGCTCAAACTTTTACGTTGAACAGTTAGTTCATCAGTTTTGGGTGAGTTTAATTATGTTCAATAATATCACTGAACCTAATCAAATTGTGGTTATTGACTCCATTAATCATTTTATTAAGATGATATTTGTCAATTGTCAGTTAAGCCATGATGTTAGTGGGTACAAAGACTTAATGGGACAGGAGTATTTCATTCTATCTTTGATCGCAGTTATAAAGTCTTTTTAGTATACAACTGTACATGTATTGTTAGGGCCTGTTTACATGGGGGTGGGGGACCTCAGGTAGGTGAGGTAACCTGCATAGGTAGGGTAACAAAATAACTCTCCTTTATATGCAAT